GGTCAGCTCTGGAACTGTCATGCCAAACACCACTCCTTGTGCACCCCCATGTTGAAAAGTGGATCCTATGTGGCTGCCTTTCTCGATGGCCCTTATGGATGACATTCCCAGACCATGGGAACACGTGGCACCAGGCCCTGTGGCATGGCTGCCCCCACACTGGTCCTTGTGGGGAAGGACCCAGTAGGAGGGCTCTGGCACACACCTACACACCCAGGGCTTTTGCTGCTGGATCCAAAGGAAGGACATGGCTTTACTGGCCACTCAGAGGTGGAATAACAACTCAGCCAATAGGGAGAAGCCACTGGAGACCACACACCTCACCAGAGTTAGCCACCTGCTCATGTGGCTGGGCACTCCGTTCCTGCCCCTGGGTCTGCCTGTCCCCTCCCTGAGGACCTCGGTCCAAGAGGGAGAGGTAGCCCCAAGCAGATGACACAGTAGGAGGAAGGGCAGAGGTCTCAATATTAAAAATCAGACTTCTGATCCCAAATAATCCCTGAAGCAGAAAGAAGACAGATGTGGCCACATAGGACACCAGTTCACACTTTCAGATACCAGAAAGGCCCACAGACATGATGGGGGAGGGGGTGGCAGATTCTTAAGAATAACATTTGGAAGTCAAGGCCCAGGACGAGGTGAGACTTGGAGAGGGGGCAGGGCCGGGGGGATGGAAACAGTTGTGGCTTAGCCTTGTCCTGAGCAAGAGTGAACATGGAAGGGGTGGCCCACGGCAGAGGGCAGGCCTTGCTACCTCTCACGTGACAATGTAAGAACCAACCGCGGCCACTTTACCTGTCTTCTTTTTCAACGTGACTGGAGACCATCTGGCCTGAGAGAGACCAAGCTTAATGAGAGAGGGTAGAAGCCCAGGGTCAGACATGGCATGGTGCCCAGCCTTGCTGCTCTGAGTCACATCATCCTCTCCTGGAGGAGCGACCCACCAGGACAGAGGGCAACTTACAGCTGAGAACGACCTGAGTGACGTGGAGCTGAAGAAGTCTCCAAAAGCTGGGGCTGCTGATGACACCCTGGCATTGCCCACTCCCAACTTCTGCTGGTTCCGTTTCCGGGGTTCTGTGTCACCATCTGTATGGTCATCGCTTCCCCAGTTGCCATCCTCACCCCCACCCCCAGTGCAACTCTCTGCAGGGAGATGTTCTGCAGAGACACTGGGAACTGGAAGGAAGTGCTGTGGCTTGAGCAGTCACCTTGGAGAGACAGAGTTTCACACACACATTGTGCAACCTACGAGCGTGGCACAGTAAGCCACTTCACTTCCTGAGATGGACAGGAAGCTGCCAGGTTTTGAGTGCGGGCTGCAGGCCCAGGGTGAGATGAGCAAGACCACAGAGATAACTACTTCAGGGGCATTGCCCCACAGCTCCAAATTCCCCTCGAACAGAAAGAATGAGGCTCATGTGTCCTGGATGTCAAGAGATAGAGCAGTCCATTCAAGATACCTGAAACAGATGGCTGACCTCAGACAAAGAACTCGAGTTCCCTGCATACCTCTACCCTGTCACCAGCTGTCACCCTCCATTAGGCTTCAAATCACATCTACAGACTGAGGGCATCTCATGTACTGGCAGGAGAGCCCAGTGACCCCAGGACAAAGACTGTGAGGAAGGCAGCAGCCCTGCCAGTGAGGCTTGGGACAGTGGTCACTCTGCAGAGTAGCTACCATGGAGGCAAACAGAGGAGCCCGCAGCCTCCCTGGATGGGGCCTCTGGGGTGTCAGATGCCCAGTTTTATAGAGCCTCAGAGTTGAGATCCGCCATTGCTTTCCAGAGTCACAAGAAACCAATGCACTGAACAAGGAGTGACTTTTAGATCCCTGCAGGACACACGACTTACCAAAGATGGAATTCTTGCATCTGCATCTCTGATATCAAGGCATTAGGAGCCAAATTAAGAATCAAAAGGCTGCTTGGGCTGTTGCTGCCCAAGCCAGGGGCCATTCCCTGCCTTGCCTATAAGTCAGGGGCTCTCTCCCAAGGACATTAGCTGGCACACACTCGGCACACACTTATTTGAATGACAACACTGCCAAATTGCAGCTCACCCACTCGGGCAACAAACCTTCACTGCCCAAGTGTGCACACCAGGCTCTATGTCAGACCCGGCATTAAAAGCGTTCACAGCCTCCTAAGGAAAGCAGATAGGTAAGCAAGGTTTCAGTTCAGTGCTCTGACAAGTTCTATAATAAACATGTACCAGAGGGGCAGGAAAGGCCCTGTTCCCAGATTCCATGCACCAGGTATGAGACGGCTACTCATTCAAATTAAAGTGTGAGGGTGGCCCCCGGGCAGGACTCTACTGGTCTCTGAGTTAAACAGTGTCTGGCTATTTCTACACACTAACAACAAAATATCTGAAAGAGAAAGAAAGAAGATAATCCCATTTACAACAGCATCTAGATAGATAGATGATAGATAGATAGATAGATAGATAGATAGATAGATAGATAGATAGATAGATAGATAGATAGATGATAGATAGATAGATGATAGATAGATAGATGATAGATAGATAGATAGATAGATAGATAGATAGATAGATAGATAGATAGATAGATAGATAATAGATAAAATGCTTGGGAATAAATTTAACCAAAAAAATAAAAGACCTGTACGCTGAAAACTAGCAGATGACGATGAAAGAAACTGAAGAGGACACTAATAAATGGAAAGATATTACGTGCTCATGGATTAGAAGAATAGTTAAAATTTCCATAGTACCCAAAGCAATCCACAGATTCCGTGCAATCTCTATCAAAATTCCAATAGCATATTTCATAGAAGTAGAATAAACAATCCTAAAACTTGTATGGAACCACAAGAGACTGTGAACAGCCAAAACAATCTTGAGAAAAAAGAACAAAGCTGTAGACATCATGCTTCCTGACTTCAAACTAAACTACAAATCAAAATAGTAAGACACTGGCTGTTCAAAACAGACACAGACCAAAAAACAGAATCGAGAGCCCAGAAATAAACCCTTGTATACAAAGTCAATCAATATTTGACAAGGGAGCCACGAATACCCAGTGGGAAAAAGGTAGTTTTTCCAATATATGGTGTTGGGGAAACTAGAGAGTTAGATGCAAAGGAATGAAACTGGACTCCTCTCTCTTGCCATTCACAAAAATTAACTCAAAATGGATTAGATTTAAACTGAAAGTTTAAGGTGGTCTGCAACACAACCTATGAAATGGGAAATATTTGCAAGTATATTTCAGATTAGGGATTAATATCCAAAATATATAAGGAACTGATACGACTCAATAGGAAAAAAATCCAATTAAAAAATGGGCAGAGGACCTGATTAAACATTTTTCAAAAGAAGGCATTCAAATGGCCAACAGGTGCATGAAAAGATGCTCAACATCACAAGTCAAATCCAAATGAGGTGTCACCTCACACATGTCCGGAGGGTTGTCAACAAAAAGACAAGAGGTAATCAGTGCTGGCAAGGACTTGGAGAAAAGGGACCCCTCGTGCACTGCTGGTAGGACTGCGAATTGGAGCAGCCACCATGGGAAACAGTCTGGAAGTCCTCAGAAGATTCGAACTAGGAGTACTATATGACCCAAGATTTCCACCTGTAGCTCTATATCCAAAGCAAATGAAATCACTATCTTGAAGAGATATCTGCCCCACTGTGTTCACCACATTATTCACAATCGCCAAGACATGGAAAGAACCTGAGTGCCCATCGATGAAGGAATGGAAAAAGAAAGTGTCTCACACACACACACTGGAATATTACTAAGCCATAAATTAAAAAGACTGAAATCCTGCCACTCGTGACAACATGGATGAAACTTGAGGACATGATGCTAAGTGAACTAAGTCAGACAGAGAAAGACACATACATATATATCGCTTATATATGCAATCTTAAAAAAAAAAAAACCCTCATAGAAACAGAGAGGGGAACAGTGGTCGCCGGGGTCAAGGCTGGGGAGCTGGGGGTGTTGGTCAGAGGTACAAACTTCCAGCTATGAGATGAGTAAGTTCTGGGGATATAACGGGCAGAATGGTGCGTGGCTGACAACACCGAGTTATAAACTGGAAAGCTGCTGAGAGCAGATCTTAAATGTCTTGCCACAAATATTTGTATAACTATGTGAGGTGCTGACCAACCCCGTTGCGATCATCTTTTTGTGGTACATCTGAAACTTATGCCATGTTAAATGTGAATTCTATCTCAAAAAAAGCGGGGAAAATAATCCTTGGAGTTACTGAGGGACATAGTCTCAGCTGCATATTCTTTTAAAGTGACATTCCACTTTTCAGTTAACAGAAAAATTATGTTAGGCAGAAAAGATCTCTGCATTTTAAAAAGAGGTTGTGATCACGAACGCGTGACCTATTCACAGTCTTTTCAATTACGTTCCCAACGCAGGCTGGTTTCATGGTTCACTAAACGTGGATAAGGGTCAGTGTGTGGCTGGCGAGGGCGCCAGTCCCGGGTCTGAAAGGGTGGACCGAGCTTTTCTCCAGATGCCCAGCCGTCAGCAACTGCCCCCTGCACAATGGCCTCTTCTTGGCCCACCCTGGAGAGGCCAAGCATGTCCCCAGGGGCCACAGTAACTGACCCTGAGGTCCAAGGTCAAGAATAGCACACTTGTCCATCTCCCAGAGGGAAAGCCCTGAGGCTGATGTCCAAGAAGCGAGTGGGGGCGGGTGCATCTGTGTGTCCTCCACTTTGTCCCAAAGGGTCTCAAAACATCCTCTAACTCAGGAAAATCCCACGTTAAAATTGACATCATCTGCGTAACAGCCGTGGAAGACAGCATGTGTTTGACGTGGCAGCCTGTTGCCACTTGTCCTTCCCCAGACTGGAGAATTTGTCCAGTTTACCTTCTCCCAGAAATTAACATACATCCTGTTTTTGTTTCTCCATGATTGTGAAATCAGTGAACTGAAGGGGAAATTTCTCAGCTCCCCACTTCTGCTTTTGATGGCCATAAAACAGCGAGGGAGAAACTGGCAGACAGCACACCCTTGCGAGGACAACGGGTCTCTCTGGGCTCTATTATCTGCAGCCAGCCTTCATTGTCAGGTGCGGCTTTTGCCAAGTCCTCTCTCTTCATGACCAGGCTGTCCCTCTGTCTTTTCCTCCCCTTCCATCCCTCTTTTCTGAGGCCAGGCTCTGGGTGCCAATGCAGGGGCCGAGATGCTCTGACTCTGGAATGAATATCACTTATCCAGCCTAACAAACATGCTCCTGGTTTGGGTTTGGTTCAGCGATATTGTCCCCCGGACCCAAAGCTGGCTCCTACATATGTTGACTCATTCACTCAAAGGTGGATTCTCTGCGTGCCAGCTATGTGCCAGGTGCTGCAGGAACACCTGTGAAGGCCACCCATAGGGGCTGTCATGGCCGTGATCACTCATTCTCTCCTCTTCACACAGGTTTCTGGAGCAGCCATGGCAGCAGTGCCTGAACTCGCCAGTGAAGCGATGGCTTACTACAGGTCAGTGGGGAGACTGGGGCCAGCAATAGACACAGGGTTCCCTGTTGAAGGGTGGAGTGTGCTCTGGGCTTGGAGATCAGACCTGCCCCCCCAGACTGCCCCTTTCAGTGGCAAGCAGGGTTCCAAGCGGACCTGGTTTGGAAGCTGGCTTCCCACTGCAAGCCCAGCCTGGGGACCTAGAGGCACCCAGGTATGGCTGCTGCAGGGGCTTCCTGCAGATGGCAAGCAGGAAGAGAAGGTGCCACAGGGGACCCCTTGGCGAAATCTGGCTTCAGTGAGGGGGAAGCTCAGATTTTAACTAGGCTGGACATTAGGTCCCAGGGTCCCCCCAGGGAGCTCTGTGCCCGCCCTGTGCTGTCCCATGAATGTCAGCACAAATTTGCCAGCTTCCAGCTGTTCTAGGGGACGTGCTATCTGCAGTTTCCTTTAACAGTGGAGACTTTGCAGGGAGGAAAAATAAACCTGTGTTGGGGACACAGCTGAACAGCATCTTTATTTATTACAGTGGCAATGAGAACGACCTCTTCTTTGAGGCTGACGGCCCCACGCAGACCAAGGTGAGACTGTGAGCTGAGTGCCAACCCATGGAAGGCTCTACCACAGAAAGGCTCTGGGCAAAGGGTCTGGGCCACCGGGACCTGTGGTGCCTGACAATAGAGTGACTTGTCTCTCCAGGGAGACAGGTGCAGGCTACACAGCATGCAGACGGGGCTGGCATGAGGCTCACACACTGCCAGTCACCCGCTAAGGCTTAGTGATGGCAGCCCTGCTAGCAGAGGCGAGCGGGTGGATAGCAGTGACCGCGTCTGCTGTCCGTTTCAGGAAGGCAGCAAGGCTGTCTTTGTTTTGAGCTGTTAGCCTCAAGACAGCCACCGCGAGCCTTCACGCAGTCACGTCCCTGAAGAGCGGAAAGTGGGAACCTGTTTCACAAATGGCAACCACTTGCAGCGCATTTGCAGAATGCTCATGAAAAAAAACAGCGTTCTAAGAAAGACCACTAGGGAATAGAGGGAAGCTTGCTGAATGAGCATGGAAAAGAGGTGCTGCCATGAAGAATGCATACGGAGGGTTAGGGAACAGGGTCACAGAAAGGTTAAGTTCACGGCTAGATGGAGCAGGGGCAGAAAAGACTAACAAGGTACGGGTGGCACATATTCTAGAAGGACAGCATCCAGGGCACCAGAGGCTCCACTCTGGCTGGCATCTGCCCTGAGCCACCACACATCCTGACCTCTGGGCTTCGGAGAGGCAACAGGTTATGGTTAGCAGTTCGGTCATCGCCAAGGCCCCTTGGCCTCTCTGTGGTCCGGCCAGCATCAGCACACCCCCCTCCTTGTCTCTCCACAGCGCCCCTTCCACAACCTGGAGCTCGGCTCGCTGGGCGACAGCGGCATCCAGCTGCAGGTCTCCCCCCAGCTATGCAGCACAAGTCCTGGGCAGGTGGTGTCGGTCCTGGTGGCTTTGGAGGAGCTGAGGGCAGTGCCCACCGTCTGCACACAGGACCTCCAGGAGGATGACCTGAGAAGTCTCTTCTTCTTCATCTTTGAAGAAGGTACTGCATCAGGGCGCGGGCACACCAGCCACCGCTGCTCACGCCCTTCCCAGAGCCCATAGCCTGGCCCCAACTACAGTCCCCCAAAGCTAAAGCCCTTATGCAGTAGCAGGGCAACCGCATGGGCCCAACAAGTTCAGGGGCCACCTGGCAGGCCTGGCAGGCGCGGTGGATGAGAGGAGCCACCCAGGACAGTCCGATTACAAATTCCTAGCTGGGCAAGTCATGCTGAGTCGTCACGGCCCAGCCCTGTGGCTTCTTTAGCAGACGTCACTCTTTGCCTTGAGTGTTGCCCATTGTTCCCATGCCTCAGGATGATGCACCTTTGAGATGTCAGCAGTCTTCTTGTTCTACCCCTGGAAAGCACAGCTGCTGGCACCAGGGCACAAGACCACATGACTCTTTATGACCTGGATGTAGGCACACCACCTCTGTCCTGTAAATGTGAAATGTTGACTTTCCCATACCCACCAATGGAAAGTCAGTCTGCATCACCCGTTTCGCTTCCTATCCAATCCCGGACATTTCCCGGCTTGGCTTCCTGCAGCCTCCCTGACCCACCACCTATCTAGTGCACACGAGGAGCTGGAGGACTGCCATTCTCCAGAACATTCTCTCAACCCCTTGAGACCTTGCTTCTGGCCATGTTCTCAAAATCTTGGCTCAGATAAAGTCTTATAAAATTTTTCCATAGTTTTGGATGTTCTTTCGTCAGTACCTTTTAGAAATAGAAGGTCCGGTGACAAGAGGACAACAGGGAAGCCTGTAAACCAAACTGATCACCCCTTTAGTTGAAAGTATTCCCAAAAGGAGACCCTGACTGGGACCCCCACGCCCCGCCACTCGCACATTGCCTATCACTCTAAGAGTGCATCTCTTGTGCTGACTCCTTCATGTCCCATGTCCCCACTAGGCCGGCGTCACTGAATTGTGTTTATGTCAGCCACTCCATTGCTCACTCACAGCAAGTGACAGAGCTTGTCCTCAGCCCACACCTTGTTCTCAGCCCCCCACCTCCCCCACCATGCCAGTCAAGCATGAGCTGAGCATGCCCTCCGAGGGCCTGACTCGGCTGCCCCCCACTGTTGGGCTCCCTCCCTGTCCTGCCTAAACGACACGTGTCCTCCACTTCCAGAGCCCCTCAGCTGCACGTGGGACGACGGGTACGTGTGCGACGCGCCCCTGCAGTCGCTGAGCTGCAGGCTCCGGGACATAAACCAGAAGTCCCTGGTGCTATCTGGACCCCACGAGCTGCAGGCCCTCCACCTCAACAGACAGGATGCAAGCCGACAAGGTAAGGGGCGCCCCCTCCCTCTCTGGCTTCCTGGAAGCTGACTGACTTGCCACAGTCTCAACCAAGTAGCACAATAGGCAAAGCGCCAACATCGGTGAAAGGACCCAGAATGAAGGACAGGCTGACTTTTTGTTTGAGTCCCGGCAATGACATCAGACTGAGTCCCTTAGCTCACTCATTTCCCAGCAGCAGGTGTAACTCTGAGTAATGAGACACTCAAACATGCCCGGGGCCACCATCCAGCCAGGCCATTTCGTGACGAGCAGTGTCAGTGCTCCACTATAAAAGGGTCAGTGGGCGGCCATGCCCTAACTGCCTGCGGGTTCTTTTTTCCTGTGGTGAAGTCAAAAGTAGACTGGTGAGGAGATAGTGAGTCCACGCTCATCCTCAAACCTGCCCCAGCACCCCTAACGTGCTCCCCACCCAACACCAGATGGTTCCCGGGGGGACGTCTCACTGACAAGCAGGAACTTTATCTCTCTGCTGTGGCCGGCAAATCTCCCATGTCCAGGGGCCCATTAGTTGTGGGGTCCGCCTGGCGCCCCAGCACTGTGGCCGAGCCCTGCGTGCAGGGATGTGGCCACAGAAGCTGCCAAAGGGAACCGCTTGCCCTCCCAGGACTGACCTTGCAGGGAGGCGTCACTGGGGAAGCTCCCTGCTCTCAGTCAGGCCAGGACAGTCCTGCTTCTCCAGAGCTGTCTTGTGAGCATGATCTTGTTCTGCTCATGAGATGGGCACATCACTGCCAGTGACAAGACAGTTTCTGCCTTTCTTCCTTCTTAAAACCTACACTCCCTAATTCATTACCATGGTGGTGAGGCTCTGTGAGGCCCTCAGAGCTTCTGTGGGAAAAACTTAATCAACCCACTGACATGCTGTCTGTGAGAAGCCGATGGGGGCTCCCACAGAGGAGGTTATACAGGTCCTGGGCTTGGGATGCCTTGGTGGGCTGGCCCTGTATGGCCGCGTGTCCCTGACCACAGGGCCCTCCTCTCCCCAGTGGTGTTCTGCATGAGCTTCATGCCAGGAGAAGAGAACGATGACAAGATCCCAGTGGCCTTGGGCATCAAGGAAAAGAACCTGTACCTGTCCTGTGTGATGAAGGACAGGAAGCCCACTCTGCAGCTGGAGGTGAGTGAGTGGCAGAGGCTGACAGCCCTCCCCAGGCTCCTCCAAGGGCCCCTGGCCACCACCAACTTCCAAGATAGCCAGCTACCTTCTCCCCTAGACACCCTGACAACCCTTCGCACATATAAATAAATGTCTTGTAATTGTTAAACACACACAACTTTCACTCCCACCATAGACAATTAAATCATTTTGCTGATGTTATTATGTTCTTGCATTGTCACAGCCCAGCTGATAACAAAGTCTTAGAGTTGCTCCATTTGACAGGTGACACTTTGGGAAATGAATCAATTCAAGAGACCTGCCACCTGTTGTCATCTCCACATCACTCCCCAAATCACCCTCCCTCCCACCTCCCAGCCTTCCCAGCAAAAGCTTCATTTCCAAGTTGAGGTCACTGCAGCCGAGGCCATGAGGAAAAAAAAAAAAAAAAGCCAAAGTCCCAGGAACTAGGTACTCCTAGAAGCTTTAACATCATTTCTGCTCTTAAAACATGCCCACCTACATTCTGCCCCCAACCACCTGACACTCAGTTTCAGTAAAAAGTAAGGGCTCCTTCAGTCACTACACAGAAAGCTGGGTCACCAAAGTAGCTCAGGCAGTGAGCTCCTGGTTCCCTCTCTAGCTGACCCAGAGAGTGTCTTTGTCTCTTCACTCACAGCACTTCTTTTGTCTATTTTGCTGCAGATGGTACACCCTGAAGATCAGTTAAAGAAGATGGACAAGCGATTTGTCTTCAACAAGACAGACATCAAGGGCAAGGTGGAGTTCGAGTCCGCCCTGTACCCAAGCTGGTACATCAGTACCTCACAGATGGAGCAGATGCCCGTCTTCCTGGGGAGCAGCCGAGGTGGCCAGGATATAACCGACTTCACCCTGGAAGTCCTTTCTCACTAGAGACCAGACCCAGAGCACCCTCACCCGGCTGCCGACAGGGACAGATGGGTGTGGAGGTGGCCGTGGGCTGCTCGTCACTGTTGCCAGCCAATGCCCCCTGCCTTCCCCCCATTGACACTCAGGAGGCCACCAGCCAGACCCATGCCACACAAAACCAGCCTGGCAAAGACCGCAGCACATACCGTTCAGAGAAGCCCTCTGTCCTCAGCACCAGCCCCAACGAGCAACCTCCTAACTCTCTATTTATTTATTTATTGATTGATTGATGGGTTCATCTATTTAATTTATTCCCAGAGCCGAGAAGCAGCAGTGCCTGTGAAAGAAAGAGCCAGTCTTTAGGGTCCAGAGGACCAACCTAATGCAGTCTCGTGTGCGGGCTTCACATGAAGTCCTCTCACCGGGCTGAACACAGATAAGCTCAGAGTACCCTAATAGGGACATGTGTGAATGAGGAGATACGACAGCACTGCTTCAATGATTCTCAAATAAATTTCACTAAAAGCAGTTTATTTCGTGTGTGACTGGACTTCCTTGGGTCTGACCCGGAAGAGTAAGGACCAGGGGGTCGTGGCGCCTGGCTGGGGAGCAAGCCGCCAGCTCCACACCAAGCGCCACCAGGTACCGGGAACATCCCCGCCAGCAAAGCTGCCACACTGCGCCTCCTCGGTTCTGTTTGTCAACAAAATGCCATTTGGCGCAAAGGGTTCACCTGAAAACAGGACCAGCTGAAGCCCTGTAGGGTCTGGGCTTGTGTAAACGGCGGCCGACGATTTCTCCATTCACTCATTCAACAGACATGTATTTAGCAAACGCTAAGCGCTGGGACTGGGGGCACAAAAACAAGAAGGGCAAGGCAGTCCTAGTTAGGCAGGTGAGGCAGAGACACCAGCAAAACAAAGGCAGGGTGACAAGCAGAGGGCACGTAGGGCAGAAGAGGAGCAGCCAGGGGGAGTGACAGATCTGCTGTAAAGGACAGAGGGTCACGGAGGGCAAGACAGGAGTCCGGCCTCTGAGGGTCAGCCGCCATCCCCATGTCCCCACGTGGAGAAGAGAGAAAAGGCGCTCAGGGCAGAGGGAGCGAAGGCCTGGGGTGTGACCTTTAGGACTCTGGGAGTCACCAGAAGCAAAGTCAAAACCCCAAAATAATCCAGGGAAATAACTGTTGTAGCTCACTCTCACACAAAGGGAGAATTGGCTTAACATGGAAAGAGTTCTCTGGCAACATCAGATCAAACAAGAACAAAAATTTAACAAAACAATAGGCAAAACCTCTAACAAAAGTACATTAACAGGCCATCTGCAAAAAAGGAAACACATGACACCCTGGACAGAGTAACAGACACTCGACATCAGCTCCAATAAGAAAGGTGAAGGGACAGCAGCTCTTAGACGCCAGTGTTCTCCTGTCAGCGCAAAGACGGGGAGCTTAACAGCACACCCCGCTGGCAGGGCTGTAGGAAGACCCCGTTCTTCGGAGTCACCCAGGGTATATAGGTCCTACCGAGGAAACATGGCTCCTATGGAAATTACAAGCACTCATCCCCTCGGACCAGCAGCTTCACTTCTGGGGATTTATCCTGCAGATGATAGGACACCCTCGTGAAATGACGCAAGACCAAAACCACTGACTGCACATCATTTATACGTGCAAAAGACTGTAAATAGCCAAGTGTCTGCCAACAAGAGCCTGGCAGAATGAATCACAGGGCATTTTTACAATGGGACGCTCTGCAGCCACAAGAAAGGTCGGGGACACGTCCTCACAACACAGAGCCCTGACACCCGAGGGAGAGCCAGAGGCAGACAGTGCTTGAGTGTGGGGCCTTCACGTAGCCCAGGTTGGGGGATGAGGCAAAGCTTCCCAGTGTGTTTGTACCTGACTCAAAAATGTCTAGAAGAGACGCAAGAAGTTTAAAAAGTGGCTGTGAGAGGCTGGGGAATAAGACATAGGGAGATAAGCATGGGAGCAAGGCGTTTCTCCAGATATTTTTGAATCATGTAAATTACCTACTCAGAAATAAAATAATTTTTAAAAAACCTTTTGTCAAAAAAATTTTTTTAAAGAGCAAAGAGCATATCACTTATTTGGGGACAAGGACTGTGCCAGCCCTCGGGGGCTCGTCCCCAGCCCTCTGCAGAGCCCTGGCCCAGCACTCTCTGCTTTGTGACTGCCGTGCAGAGGATGGGAGGGCTAGAAGGGGCAGGCTCCCAAGTGGCCCCCATTGCACCCCAGGTAACAGGGCTGCCGGCAGGCGTGCAGCAGGTCTGGGGAAGAAAGCAAAGGTGGCCTTGGCGCCCAGCTCTGGTACTACCCCCTTCCTTGATTGAGTGACACAGTTCTACCCCTCTCAGTCCGAAAAGGGAGACCTCCAGAAAGGACAGACTGTGACGGCAGCGCCCCTGCGAGGATGCCAGACTGTGTGGGGGGAACTGGCACGGCCACTCTGGGGAGCAAGTCGATGCATCTAGCTTGCTTCTAATGTGCTTTATGCCTCAACCACTCGGCTATTTGGTATCTTCCCTATAGAACCGAGCTCTAGGATGTTTTGTTTAGAATTGTGCTTTAAAAGTTTAAGAAGATGAACCAGATGAACCAGAAAGGACCCAACTTCCTTCGGTTAAACAAGTCATGGCCAGTTACAAAGGAAGAAGGCAGGACTGAAAAGGAAGGTGATCAGTGGACAAGGCCCTAGGAGAAGCAGTCGAGCTGCAGAACAAGTACAGAATGACACCGTTTACTTGAAGGAAAAAGCAGACATCCCAAATGCATAAGCATGCAAAGTGAGGCGTTTGGAGCTCCAGGGGCCAGCAGACTGAGAGCAGAGGCTCTGGGGGTCCCTCCAGCTACAGTGTATGAGTGCTGTATAAGAAGAATGCCTTCACAAATTCTAATGTTGTTTTTTAATCCTCTACATTAAAATGTGAAAAAGGCCTGGGTTTCAACTCCTGGATCTGAAACAAGATTAAAACTGACCCTCCAAGGGCTGGTCCCGTCCTGGTTTGCAGCCAGGTCCCCTCCCCGCTGACAGACTCCTTTCTCTGCATTGAGTGTCCGTTTCTAAGTGGAAGGGTCTGAGGATTTTAGTGGGCAGGGCCATAACCACCACCCCAACTCAGCCACCAAGCCCAGGAAGCATAGCAGGAGTGGGAAGTCTTTGCAAGTGTCTGCACCTGAGGCAGGTGATGTACTACCCACCACATTCCCAGCAGCCTTTAGGGAGACTCTGTGTGGTTGCAGAATCCAAGCAAGTCTTATGCACATGACCTGACGGCTCAGATTCTGATAGACAGTCCATGGGGCAAGAGTGTGGCTCTTCCACAGGCTTGAGCCAGAATCTGGTGGGGGAAGGCAAGTGATGCCATGTGTGTGAGAGCATGGCTGGGTCAGACACAGGTTGGAGAGGTGGCTGCCACCACGTCCTGGCCAGATGGGAAGGGTAAGTCATGTGAGCTCTGTGCAGCCCTCCTCTCAGCCCATTGCTCACCTCTCCCCTCCACCCCCGTGCCCACACAGCTTTGCCGCACTGCCACAGACAGCTGGCCCAAGGGGACACCAGTAAGAATGCCCAGAGAACTGGAGACACCACCCAGGGGTGCGGGACTGCAGCTAGAGCCCCCTCCGAGTCCCTGTCACATCTCACCCACATACTGGCTCAGCTGGCAGTGGGGGGCTATAGTCTTGGGAAGCCAGAAGCCTGCTCTTCTCATCTACATAAGCATGCCTGCTTATACAACCGAGAGCCAAACCCTCTCTGAAAGCAGGTCACAGAACCACGGTATGCAGTACGTAGGCCAGGAAGGGAAGGGCGGGGAGGGCAGTGGCATTTAAGTCAAAAGCCACATGGTCTCTGAGAGTGGCTCACCTCTAGCAAACAGGGTGGCTGCAGATGGAGGGGCCAGGTGAGACCTGAGCCTGGGTGGGTAGGCCCTCTAGGCACCAAGGCATGATCTGTGACTGGTACCCAGCGACTACCCTCTGGGCCCCAAGCTTCCCCCAATGCTCCTCTTCCTCTCCAGCCCCTCATCTGCACCCCAACCCAATCACATCAGCCAGCAGGGGTGAATTGGGAAGCGTGGGCTTCCAGCCACCATCTGAGCATCCCGCAGCTGCCACTCCACCTGGAGAAGCACACAGCAGGAAGGAGCGAGCATTGGGTGCACGTGAGCCCTGGAGCAGAGGGATACGTGGGACCCAGACACGCACAGGAAGGAGCATCCCCACACATTGTAGTTTGGCTTTAATAAAACATATCAAAACACCTGGAAGATGTGTGGAGCGTGGGGCTGAGCCCCGGCACCCTCTAGCCTGGGGGTGAGATTGTCGTCCCAAGCAGGCAGTATCTTCCGGACGCCCATCCCCCACAGCCTCACTGCCAGAGCAGCAGGTCCAGTTCCCTCCTTAAAGGCCCTTCCAGGGCCCAAACCTCAAGAACCTTGGTCTTCCAATACCTTAGCTTACATACTATCTACAAGAATTCTGAAAAATTGACCTCATCCTCCCTCCCCACCAACATATATGTTCTAGGTTAGAATGTAAAATTTTTTATCATAATTTTAAGAAGTTAATGGCAAATTTTATCATTCCTAGACTATTGTAACTTTAACATTTAAAAATAAAACCATTACATCTATTTTGTAAATGTATCCAATGAAATCCTGATACTTAGTGACCCTCTTACTATCATCCATCTAAAAATAACATGAACAAATTCAACAGTCAGAAAATTTGCAACATTCCTTTTTCTCCTTGAACTGATATTTCCATTCCTTTTCTCCCATGAAATTTTATACTAATATAATGTGTATTATGCTTAAAAGCATTTTACTGATCATTCTATACTTATTTGGAACAATAAAATATGTGTTCAATTAAAATTTAGTTATTGTATTTTTATGTAACAATAGGACATTAAATTTTTTTTAATTCTTCCAGATTGAGTCATCATTATAATAGTTGTGAGTACATAACTGATCAAAATAATATAAATATAGAAATATACTATATTATAAATGTTGGTTTTTATTAGCAATATATCTTGATCAAATAGAGCTTCTTAAAATCATTTCACATATTTATATATTACTCATAATTAGAATGAGGGCTCAAATTTGATCCTAGTCTTATTTTGGTTTTTTAAATGTAAGTACTGGGAAAACTTGTATGTATAAGCCATAGGAGAGGAGAATGAAAGGAATTTTGTTACAGCAATGTCATTCAACTCTTTGAAATCCTTCTGAGTT